ATTTGTGTGTACAGTAGATATATAGTTCAATCTCATTTTCGTATATTTCTGCTATTCATTAAAAGTTTCGTTTTTTAAAGTTCTTGTACCAGGTGTAATTTTACGTCCATATGCATGGACTGTTAGAATGTGATTCCTTGATTATTAACAATGATTTACATCGCTACATATAGCGTTGGAGATTACAGAGATTAAGGTGAGAAGCCTAAATCAAAGGGATTATACACAATCGAATCTTGACCGTATAAGCTAAATATGGAATTGAGTATCTCATTCCTAATACCCTCCCGCAGTCGCATCGTCGCTTGTCCGTACGGTGAGGCTGGAACGAAACTCTCGATGAAGTGAAGATGGTAGTCCCTTTGTAAAGATGTCAGCATATTGTAGTGATGTTGGGACATGTAGAACTTTGACTTCTCCAATTGCAACTTTATCTCTAACAAAGTGAATATCGAGCTCAATGTGCTTTGTACGTTGATGTTTCACGGGATTGGTGGAGAGGTAGACGGAGCTGATGTTGTCACAGTAAACGATGGATGCATTGGAGATAGGTCGATGTATCTCGAGTAGTAGGTTGCGTATCCAAGTGAGTTCAGCTACTGTGTTGGCGACACCTTTATATTCAGCTTCGGAGCTTGATCGGGAAGGTGTTGGTTGTCGCTTTGCTGACCAAGAGATAAGATTTGGACCGAGAAAGACACAATAACCTGAGGTAGACCGTCGAGTGTCGGGACAACCGGCCTAGTCAGCGTCGGAGTAGGCAGTGAGGCTATCAAGGCATCCTTTTGTCATTTGAATCCCGTAGTGAAGAGTGCCCTGCAAGTAACGGATGATTCTTTTGAGAGCATTGAGATGAGGTACCCGAGGTTGATGCATATAAAGGCAGATTTGATGGACAGCGTATGATATATCCGGACGTGTGAATGTCAAATATTGTAGAGCACCAGCAAGGCTGCGGTAGTACGTTGGATTATCGATTGGTTCGCCGGCATCGATGGAGAGTTTGGATTGGAGGTCAACGGGGGTAGCGAGCGGTTTGCAGTCCTCCATACCAGCTCGTGTAATGATGTCCTGCGTGTAGACGGATTGACTTAGGAACAGACCTTTGGCGTTGAAGTCAGCTTTTATGCCAAGGAAGTGATGTAGCTTGCCCATATCAGTCATCGGAAACTCTGTTTTGAGCTTGGAGATGATTTTCTGAAGTAAGAGTGTGGAGGAAGCTGTCAAAAGAATGTCATCAACATAGAGTAATAAGTAAGCACAATCACGGCCACGCTTAAAAATGAACAGAGAGGAATCGGCTCGGCTTTGCACAAAACCCATGAGCTTGAGGTAGTTGGAGAATTTTGCATTCCATGCCCGTGGTGCTTGTTTCAAGCCATAGATGGCTTTGTTGAGTTTGCATACATATGAGGACTTGCTCTTGTCAACAAAACCGGGCGGTTGGTGCATGTAAACAGTTTCTTGAAGATCACCTTGAAGAAAGGCGTTTTTGACGTCTAGTTGATGAATTGGCCATTCTAGAGCAACACCGACATTGAGAACTGTTCGTATCGTCGCTGGCTTTACCACTGGACTAAATGTCTCCGTGTAATCGATTCCTTCCTCTTGAGATTTCCCATTCGCTACTAGGCGAGCTTTGTGTCTGTTTAGAACTCCATCTGCATCATATTTATGCTTAAAAAGCCACATAGAACGCACAACGTTAACGTTAGGAGGTCTTGGTACCAAATCCCAAGTCTTAGTCTTAAGCATAGCACCATATTCATCCGTCATTGCTGGATTCCAGTTCGGGTCAGAAAGGGCTTGTAAGTGACTTTTAGGAAGTGGTGACTTTGTTCTGGTTAAGAGTGAAAGAATCTGTTTTGGTTTGGTAATACCGGCCTTCGACCGAGTGGTCATGGTGTGGCGCGGTGGTGGAACAGGACGAGAAGTGGCAGGTGGTATAGCCGTGACGATTTGTGGTGGTGTGGTTATTAATGGTGCTTGAAGGATGGAACGAAAGAGAGGAGACGTGTCATCACTCTCTTCAAGAAAAGAATAAGTTTCGGGTGGAGAAATTGGCTCCGCAGCGGGAAATTTATTCTCATCAAAGATGACATGACGAGAGATAATGATCTTTTTCGATTTAAGATCCATACACCGATAGCCGCGGTGTTGAGATGGATATCCAAGAAAAAGACACGGGGTGGAGCGAGCTGAAAGTTTGGGAAGGTTTGAATGATTGAGATTAGGAAAACACAAACAACCGAAAACTCTTAAGTGATCATATTTTGGTTTCTTTTGAAAGAGAAGAGTAAAAGGTATTTGGTTTTGGATAGCTTTTGAGGGAGTGATATTGAGGACGTGAACCGCAGCATGTAAGGCTTCAACCCAATAGCAAGGAGATAACCGAGCTTGAAACAAGAGAGTACGTACGGCATTGTTAATCGTACGTATCATTCTTTCGGACTTCCCATTTTGTTGAGAAGTATGGGGACATGAAAACCGAACATTGATACCATGAGTGGCAAAGTGGTTTTGAAATTGAGCGTTGTTGTACTCACCTCCATTATCACATTGAAAGCTTTGGATTTTGGAGTGGAATTGATTGGCTATATAGGCAGTGAAGTGAAGGAATTTTGAGAACACTTCACTCTTACGTCTTAAGGGATAAACCCATAAGTATTGGGAGTAGTGATCAAGAAACAACACGTAGTAACGAATGCCACTCATGCTAGGTAAGGGTGATGTCCACAAGTCGGAATGAACTATCTCAAAGGGTTTGTGAACTTTGGTATGAGAAGTGAAAAATGGTTGTTTTATTGATTTCCCCAAAATGCAAGGTTCACACGAAATAGGAGCTGGTCCTTTATTACAAAGAGAAGGATTTGAATTGAAAACAGAACGAAGAGAAGAATTTTGAGCATGACCGAGTCGCTTATGCCATAGTTCCGGAGTTGAAGCCAAAAGAGCAGTGGGAGAGGAGCTCGGTGTTTTATTGAAAGTAGCCGGCAATGAATAGAGATCACCGGAGCTCTCACATCGGAGCAGAACTTTCCGACTTGGAAGATCCTTCACAGTGAAACCAAATGGGTCAAAATCAACAGAGCACCAATTATCTTTTGTAAATTGGCGAACAGAGATAAGATTTTTGACAATATTTGGTGCAACAAGGACATTATTAAGCAAGAGAGGTTTGGTTTTGGAAAGGATGGTTGTTTGGCCAGTGGAAGTGATAGGGATAGAGGAACCATTACCAACAATGACAGATTGAGAGGTATTATGATTAAGATTAGATTTGAGGATACCTGCGTGCGGTGTGAGATGCGCGGTGGCTCCGGAGTCCATGAACCATTCGGAGGCAGCGGGGTCGTTTAGCGATTCAGTGACATAGGACTGAATGGGCTGCGCAAACTCCACAAAGTTTGCTTGAGGCTGTTGTGGAGAGGACTGCGGAAAACGACCGTGAGATGGCTGAGACCATGGTGGATATTGAGGCCAGTAGGGCGGAGGAGATGGCCAGAAGGGTTGGGATCCCCATTGCGAGCCCCACGTAGAGCGATTGTTGAAGCCATTGTTGCGACCACCTCTGCCACGATTGTTACCACGACCGCCTTTGCCACGGTTGTTTCCAAAACGGGATCGATTTGAGTCAGACCGGTTCTGGGGTGAAGCAGCAACAGTGAGAGCCGTGGAGGAGGAGGAGTTGTCATTGTGAGCAGCTGAGGAGCGAGTCACCTTTTTGATGCGAGACTCCTCCATCTCAAGCATCGACTTAGCAGAATCGAATGATGGGAATGGTTCCTTGTGTTTGATAACATTGATGATGTTATCAAACTTCTCATTTAAACCATTGAGAAGATACATCACTAAAGTACGTTCATTAACCGCATCATCGACATTGGTGAGCAGATCTGCAACAGATTTGAGCTTCTGACAGTATTGACGGACTGTCATGTCGCCAATCTCCATGGTTCGAAGCTCGTTGTCAAGTCGGATTGCACGAGCCTCCTTGTTGTCTCGGAATTGATTCTCCACGCGAAGCCAGACGTCGCGAGCAGAGCCGCCAGTCTTGAATGAGGAGCGAAACAGAGGCTGGGCAAGAGTGCCGTAAATCCAGAGTTTGACGAGGCCATCACGCTTGTGCCACGCTGTATCGTCGGCGCCGGTGGGAAGAAGAGTGCCATCGATGTGGCCAGAGACGTCGAACGTCATACAGTGAGTTTGAAATAACTCTCTCCAGGCATCATAATTGTGATCTTCAAGATCGAGAATGAGCGGGATGTGATGCTTGATGTTTGTCACACCAAAACACCTTTCGTTGGGATTGTTTGTATTTGCCATGAGGACAGGATGCGAAGAAAAACAGAGGAACAGAGAGGAAGAAAAAATAGAGGAAGAAGATGAAGGAGATCGGATCAGATTTCTAGCTCTGATACCATGTTAGAATGTGATTCCTTGATTATTAACAATGATTTACATCGCTACATATAGCGTTGGAGATTACAGAGATTAAGGTGAGAAGCCTAAATCAAAGGGATTATACACAATCGAATCTTGACCGTATAAGCTAAATATGGAATTGAGTATCTCATTCCTAATATGGACAAGGTCAGTGTCTGATGCCACCGTCACAAGGTAAAGCTATGTCCAGAGTCCACATGCACAACTCTAACGAACATCACAATACATGTCAACACGAACACATGCAAATGGAAGCTACATGGTTGAAAAGTTAGTGTTCGTATTTTGCCATAAAAAAATACTTTAGTGATTAAAAGTAGTCCCGCAAAACCTTGGTACGTGGCGACTCGGAATCCTACGTGTTGCCTCCAGAGACTTGAACAAAGCTTGCAGACATATTTCCTGCCAACTAAGATGTTTTCGCTCATGATGTGCCCTCAAGATCCTTCACCACTTGGTTTTTCTTTAAGATATATCATTTCTTAATTGCTTGCATGCTCTTTGAGAGTAAGGTGCAATTATAAATAACAAAACAAAACGGGTGTGTAGGTCGTCAATAAATTTTGCATGTTGCAAAGAAAATGAAGATGAATTCGCGAGCTTTAATAGTGTGGTTTCTATTGTTGTCGGCAGTTTTCGCCATCACGGTTGTTGCCTCCGTCGATGACACAAAACAAGGTTATAGTCAGATCCTGTACTTCATTTTGCATGATCTCTATCATATGTTTTAACGGTTTGTTTTTTTTGTTTTTTATATTTTAAAGTTGGTGAAAACCAAGTGGAGGAGTCAAAGTCGACATGCAAGTACGGAAATTGTGCACATGATGGAGAGGTTCCTTTTGTAGAAGTAGATGAAGTCCATGGTGGAGAAGAAGAATCCAAATCTGACCAAGTTGGACACAAAGGTGGTGGCCGTGGCCAAGGAGGATATAAGGGCGGTGGCCAAGGAGGACAAAAGGGCGGCGGTGGCCAAGGAGGACAAAAGGGCGGCGGTGGCCAGGGAGGACAAAAGGGCGGTGGCGGCCAGGGAGGACAAAAGGGCGGTGGCGGCCAGGGAGGACAAAAGGGCGGCGGCGGCCAAGGAGGACAGAAGGGCGGCGGCGGCGGCCAAGGAGGACAGAAGGGCGGCGGAGGCGGCCAAGGAGGACAGAAGGGCGGCGGCGGAGGTGGCCAAGGAGGACAGAAGGGCGGCGGCGGCGGTGGCCAAGGAGGACAGAAGGGCGGCGGCGGCGGTGGCCAAGGAGGACAGAAGGGCGGCGGCGGCGGTGGCCAAGGAGGACAGAAGGGCGGCGGTGGTGGTGGCCAAGGAGGACAGAAGGGCGGCGGAGGTGGTGGACAAGGCGGCGGTGGTGGTGGACACAAAGGTGGAGGTGGTGGCCAAGGAGGACACAAAGGTGGTGGAGGTAGAGGTGGTTATGTTGGCGGAGGCGGCAGAGGAGGCGGAGGTCGTGGAGGTGGTGGCGGAAGCGGCCGAGGAGGAGGTGGAGGAGGAGACGGTGGGATGTAGGATATCTCTGCCTATACTAGCAAATTTTATTTTTAAATCCCAAGTGTTTGCGTATATTAAACTACAATAAAGTTGTATGTAAGCGTATGTATCACACCACTTCGTCGAATGTTTATAGCCTTCGCTGTCGTCATGAAAGTTTTATGTTTCTCTCAACGTAATATCACAATATTATCCGTTATTAATCTGTCGGGGCTTAATATGATTTTAAGAAAAAGAATACAACAACCAAAGAAACCAATGATGGTCAAATGCCAAAGAAACAATTGAAAGAGTATACAATGCAAATTAATGAAAGGCATCAAAGGATGTCCAAGAATTGGAGCAAAGCAAAGGGAATTGTTCCAAAGATACATAAAGCTGAACTTGATAGCAAATAGAACGTGAGTTCGTCAGATTTCAGACCAATAGTGAGGGAATTTCGGGTGGAGCAACGAATGAGGAACTATATATATAGATATATTTGTAACGTTCAACTTTATTGCAACAAAAAAAATTTCTTACTATTTTTAAAAGTTCTAAAATAAACGAAAGAATTTAAAATGTTTGTGGAGAGTGGAAATATAGACGAACTTGCTCAACTTCGAGGAAAGCTTTTGGCCAGTAAGTTATTCGGCCTCACCAAGGGTTTTCTACCAAAGAATTGTTGTCTCAGCTGAAAACATAATTGAGAAGAAGCAAAAATACAAAACTTTTGAGATAAAAATATCTCATAGTCACGTAGGTTGGCTTCATATAAGTCACGACCTAGACTTTGAAGAAGCTTGAAGATCATCATCAGCTCATTTATAGGGTTCCTAATAACTAAAGTAACACAAATAGAGCGAACTTACTGGTGCATGGAGTTGTGCAGAGATAACTCTCACATAACATAACTTGTGGAAGTATATTACATGGCTAGGAGGTTAATGGTCATGGATTCGTACATCTTTAAGGTAGGGTCCATTCCATGTAATTTAACTTTTCGTTGGAGAGTAGATCCTTTGTAATGCGGATCAAACCCGTGATCTACAAGGTGTTTACGTTTTCGGTAATTCAAGGGCTTAACCACTAGACCAACTTATCGTTCGTGTATGTAATATATATATATATATATATATATATATTTGCAAATGCATGACAATGTTCTTGTAGTATATTGTTGATCCGTAGAAAGAACATACATATGTGTGTGTGTGTTGAACTATCTTAGTCTCTTATTAGGTTATATGGTGGGATAAAACATCTGCCAACTTACTTGTTTTGGCAGAAACAAATTCCCTAGTTAGTTCACAAATAGTATTATGTTATTCTACAATTTATTAAGACTAAAAATAAATAGTGTAACTGAATCATATTAATTTATATAATCATTGTCTGATGAAATGGTAAGATGCAATTTGTTTTTATAACATAAATTAAGATAAAATATTTGCCTAATATAACTAGGAAAACCGACTTAAAAGAAGGGTAATACGTCACAACTATAATAAAGAAGATTTCATAATTGAATTTTTGAGTATTTTTATATGAATGTAAATGCACATTAAGAGATATCAAAACCGCCTAACATCTCGAATGCAAAAAAAAAGGAATATCTCTTTATTTCCTTTGCATTCGAGATGTTAGGCCGTTTTGATATCTCTTTCACAACTAACTTATATCTCAAGTAATTGTTAAGCTTATCCAATATTCTCCCTCTAAAGCTTGAAATCTTCTTTCACCACATTTTGCACTCCAATAAGCTCTCTCATTTCCTTGAACTTAACTCTCCCTAGTGCATTTGTTAGAATGTCCGCTTTTTGCTCCTCACCGGGAACGTACTCCACTTCTACAAGCCCATTCTCAACGCATTCTCTTATGAAGTGGTACTTTCGATGTATGTGCTTACTACGTCCGTGAAACACCGGGTTCTTCGTGAGAGCAATAGCCGACTTGTTGTCTATCCGAATAAGTGCCCTTTCACACGGCACTCCAGTGACCTCATAAAACAAATCTTGAAGCCAAATAGCTTGTCTCGCTTCCTCAGTTTCTGCCATGAATTCTGCTTCACAAGATGATAACGCCACCGTATCTTGTTTCTGTGAACACCAAGAGATTGGACTTGAGCTCTCTCCTAAGTAAAATATATGACCAGTTGTGCTTCTTCCATCATTAGGATCAACATTGTGACTACTGTCACTAAACCCCACCAGCTTTGGAATATTTGAAACAGAACGCCGATATGTTAAACCAAGAGTACTGGTGCCTTTTACATATCTTAGACACTGCTTCATTGCTGTTCCATGTGATTCCTTCGGATTCTGCATGTAACGACTAAGAACTCCCACACAAAAGTTTAAGTCTGGTCTTGTATGAAGCAAATAGCGAAGACAGCCTACATTTTTCCTAAAACTCGTTGCATCGATCTCTTTTTCTTCTTAAGCTTTAGACAGATGGAGTCTGGACTCCATTGGTGTGTGAACTAGATTGCATTCTTTCATCCCTAACTCTTCCAAGATCCGTTTAGTATAACAGTGTTGAGTTAGTGTTATTCCTTCTTCATGTTGACATACCTCAATCCCGAGATAGTAAGTTAACTTCCCGAGGTCACTCATCTCAAACTTAGAAGCCATCTCATCTTTGAACCTATCGATGATCTTTACACTTGTCCCTGTGACAAATAAATCATCCACATATAATGCCACGAGAGAGTAAGATTCTCACCCATCGTTTTGCGGTAAACTGATGGTTCTTTTGAAAATTTTACAAACTGAAGCTCCTTGAGAATTTGTTTTAGTTTATTGTTCCATGCTCTCGGTGCTTGTCGTGATCCATAAAATGCCTTGTTGAGTTTATAGACTTTATCCTCACTTCCCTTTTCTTTGAATCCTTCCGGTTGCATCATATAAACGGTCTCTTTTAGCTCTCCGTGAAGAAATGCCGTCTTGACATCGAGATGATGTAATTCCCATCTATTTGAATGCCACGATTTCCAAACTCTCCGAAAGTGAATCTGAAACTTCCATCATTGTTGTGTTCCGAATCATTACAATTCCAATTCCAACCTTTTGTTTCATCAAACACAACATCCCGATTCACCACAACCTTTTGATTTGTTGGACTGAGCAGGCGATAAGCCTTTGACCCTGGTTCTGTGCCTAAGTGAACCAGCATTCTTGATCTATCCTCTAGTTTCCTTAGATGTGGTGTCTCTATTTTTTTCATAACCGATGCAACCGAATATCCTGAGATGCTTAATGCTTGGTTTCTTCATATGGAAAGCTTCATAAGGAGTTTTATCCTTAACCGATCTTGTAGCTATCCTGTTAAGCAAATATGTAGAGTGTCGGATCGCCTCTCCCCATAAGTAATTTGGTATACGCATGTGTTTCATGATGCTTCTTGCCATTTCCATCAAAGTTCTGTTTCTTCTCTCAACAACACCGTTTTGCTGGGGAGTATATGGAGCAGTGAGATGTCGTTTAATGCCTGATTCTTCGCAGAAGCTATTCAATTCTTCTGACACAAACTCTCGTTCTCTATCAGTTCTGAAATTCTTTATACTTGCTCCTGACTCTTGTTCCACCAAACTCTTGAACTTTTTAAACTTGTCAAAAGGTTCACTCTTTTCTTTTAACAGAATTGTCCACATGTATCTAGAGTGATCATCAATAAGAACAAAGACATACCTATTTCCGGCGGTTGTACTCGGCATTATGGGGCCACAAATATCACCATGTACAAGCTCAAGTATCTTGGTGGCTCTGAATAAGGTAGCTTTGGGAAATACTTGTCTTGCTTGTTTTCCAAGCAAGCACAATCCGCAGATTTTTTTTTCAAAACTGACATGTGGAATTCCTTGAACAAGCTCCTTTTGCATCATGTTCTTGATTGTTTCGAGATTACATGTCCAAGACGTACATGCCATCTACTAGCCTCACTTATTTTTGTTAAGTGTAACTGCGTGGTGTCTCTTATTCCCATCCGAACCTTGTAGAGACGAGTTTTTGATCTACTTGCTTTGACAAGTAATTTCCCACCATGATCATCCATAGTTAGGTGATCATCTCTCATCCTTATATCGCACCTTGACTCTGTAGCTTGTCCTAGGCTAATGATATTGCTCATTAAGTCTGGAATAATATAGACATCATACATCTTTCTTTGTTCTCCATTCCTATCAATAAACAAGATTGATCCTTTCCCCTTGATGTCTATGCATGAATCATCTCCAAATCTCACTTTACCCGTAATATATAGAAAGCTTTGAAAAATATCTCTGGTCTCCAGTCATGTGGTTGCTTGCTCCATTGTCGAGATACCATATGTTCTCTTCTCCGATGTTTGTCTCATACTCAAGAATGATGCAATTTTTTCATTTAAGTATACCACCTCATGCATCATGAGTTCATCCACTTCTTGTGTGTCATCGTTGTTCTGTTCTTGAGCTTCTTGCAGCTTGAGTAACGATCCGGATATGTAGTGGCGTAGTGACTTGTCACACCGGAAACATGTTATTTTTGATGTGTCATTTCCTTTATTAAAACGACCTCGACATCTTCCTCGATAGTAACCGCGTGTTCCACATCCTCTGCCCCTGTATTCATTGTTGTATTCTCGGTTTGAGTATCCAGCTTGAGAATTCGTATTAGCATACATAAGTTTGCTTTGATCTTCATGTGATTCTTCTTCTTCACAGACACGTTCCTCATAGACTTTCAAACGTCCGACTATATCTTCGAAAGTTGTAGTATTAGGATCTAATACTTGTTCCAAAGAGGCAACTATATGAATGTATTTTTTTCGAGGAATACTCTTTAAGAATTTCTTAACCAGTCTTGATTCTTCAATGTTTACACCTAGGACAACTGATTTTGATGATATCTCGGATAGCTTGCCAGCAAAGTTATCAATTTTCTCGGAGTCTTTCATCTTGAGGCGGTCAAATTCGGCCATGAGAGTTTGTAACCTAGCATCCTTAACTCTCTCTGCTCCCACATGTCTAGCCTTGATCGAATCCCACACTTTCTTGGTTGTGTCGAGTTCTCCGATTTGTAATACTAGAGCTTCATGGATTGATTGGAAAAATAGGGCAGTGGTTATATCGTTTTTCTCCGCATGAGTCCGGTTTGTTTTAGTCTCTATAGCATCCCAAGCTTTATGAACTTTGAGTGCTATCTTCATTCTTATGACCCATACCGTGTAATTGGTTGCGTTTAGCATAGGGCTTTGAATTGAGGCCGATCCTCCTCCTTCTTTCGTTTTTTCCCGTCGCGGGAATAATGTTTCCCATGTCTCCTTCTCATTCTTACTTGGTTCACGATCTCACAAAGCGCTCTAATACCAAATCTCGAATACAAAGGAAAGATTAAGAACTCAAATCCAACATAACATGCTCTATTTAATCTATCATACATCAGACAAAGATATTTTGCACGTTTTGATGGGTTAGCCCATAAAAAAAATCGTAATCGTACTAATATCTACTGTAATCTGCCCCACCATATAACTTGTGTGCTCTTAAAAAAAAATTATCTTTACTTTTAGTTGGAGGTAATATATTTTTGGTACGAGATATTGCTAGAAGCATAACAAAAGTTGGCCAGTTAAAATCATCTTTAGCGTTACGTCCGGCCTGGTTTCACCTGAAAATTGCAAAGAAGGTTTGTGATTGATCTCTTCTTGTCCGTTACTATTTTATGCTCATTTCTTATACCGCTTTTTTTCCTTTCTCCAGTGAAGATTTCCTTTCCGATGATAAGAAGAAAGGAAAAAAAGATGAGTGACGCAAATGGTTTCCCAGGCGTTGCTTGGTTCTTGTGGCTGATGGTTTCACATGTGATTTGAGGTTGCTCCAGTGGCTTGCTTGTGTTCCTCCTTGGCTTAGTGGCTCAATGGATTTCAGAGATCCAATGTGTGGGCGGGTGCTACAGCTGCCTCCTCTCCAGAATATCTTCAACCACGTGATGTCCTCTGAAGTCTCGCTCGAGGTGCTGTCTTGTTATGTTCTTGTTTGCTTGCAGCTCATACGAATGTCGGAAAAGCGTGTTGGAGGATTGGGACATTGTGGTTGGAATCGTGAAGGACGGACTGTTCGGTCACTTTGGTTTTAGCTCGTGTCTCTGTTGGGGATATTGTGTAAGGGAGCCTGATGTTGTGAGCAAGATGGAGCCGCCTTATCCACCTCTCTTTCTAGCAGCGACATTGGATTCTCATGAGCAATTCTCAAACCGCTAGTGGTGACGCAGGTTTGTTCAACGGTGGTTCCGGTCTGTGGTTTAAACCACAGTTTTCCAGCGTTTTCGTGATCGAAAGAGTAGTAATTCTGCTGGTCTGAGGTTTGTGGACTCATTTTGGTCGCAAACACTAGCGGTAATTTTGATTTCATGTTGCGTTCTGCATTTTTCTTTCTCGGTGGTGGTGTTTTTTAGTCTTAGCATTCTTCCTTACTTTTTTCGACTTGGTGTTCGCTTGTGCTTGTTGTTCCTTTTCGTTCTTACTTTATAGTTTTTTGGTCTTTTTCTGCTACTTCTTCGTCTCTGTAATCCTCTACTACAAATAAAAATATTACAAAACTTAACTTTTTACCAAAAAAGACAAAGAAATCAAAGTGAAAATGAATATCACGAAAATCATATAAAGTTTTGATTAATGTTAATAGGTTATGGTAATTTCTACGAAAACAAAGGACAATTGTTCCCTGTAGCAAAATTTTATCTCTTTCTTGATTTTTCTCTTTCTAGATCTGAGATCTTGGTTTCTTTAGATCTTCACTGTTAGATCTTGGTTTCACAAAGGAAAAGCAGCGGTGAGTTCGAGAACCTCTTTGTCGATGGCGGAGTGGTGTCTTTACCATCAGAGGTAGTTGTGGCTCTGGTTTTGACGACAGGGAAGGTCTGCGGTCGTGTCCGTCTTGGTTTGAGGACTCCGATGTAATGTTGTAGATTCTTCTTCGGCTCAACCGTCAAAGTGGCCGCTACAGCTACGACAGAAGTCAATTGGAGGGTGGTGGGTCTTGTCGAATTGTCACGGTGGTTAAATGTCAATCCGTTTGGAATGTAGATGGCTCTCGTGGAATTCTGGTTTAGGGGTATGGATTGAGCCACCAACCTCGTAAACCGCCATGATGATTGTAACACCCGCGTCCCGCGATCCTAAAGGGGGCCGGTTTGTTTTAGGGAAAACTAGATCATGGTCGAGAAAGACCAATGAATAAGTTAACCCAAGGAAGGAATGAAACGTTTAAGTCATGAAAAGGGTAGATGACTTAGACGACATCGGGATAATCTAGTGATCATGGAGAAATGATCATGGAAAGATTGGGAATGGCGTAGTCAAGGCCGAGAAAACGGACCGAAAGACTTAGCCGAAAAGAACGTGGAAGAACGTTCGAGCTAAACCAGCTAGGTGAGCTGAACAAGCTGGATGAACTAGCTAGCTCAGCTAGGTGAGCTAAACCAGCTGGAGGACTAGCTAGCTCAGTTAGGTGAGCTGACCGGCAGCTCAACCGAGCTCGGTGAACTGATCGAGTACTGACCCAGCTGGGTGGTCCGGTCAGCTGACACTCGAGCTGGTGGACTGTGGTAGCTCGGGATGAAGAGGTGTAAGGTCGAGCGGTTACCGACGAACGGTTACCGTTGGCCAAAGGGTGGATAAGGCCGAACGGTTACGATCGGAAAGACGCAACCTTTCGAAAGGGTGCAACGAACGGATGTGATATTTCGAAAACACACCCATTCGGCCCCTATATAAGGGAGGACGTCCAAGGGCATTGGAATCATCCCAACACACTTCACAATCACGATCTCAACCCAACACAAGTCCTAAACACGCCACGAAGTTGTTGGTCGGAAAGGGGGTGCGGCTCGGCGAGTATCTCCGGAATCGGAATGGATTCTCGGAGCCTCGACCGAACTGATGCGCATGCTACCTCCCGATCCAACGGTTCGATGGAATGTTTGGATAGATTGATCGGACCGATCGTCGGAGAGACGGATCGAAACAGATGGATCGTTCGTCGGAGAGACGGGTCGGATCGGGTAAGATGGTCGGGTCGACCGAATGATCGGATCGTGGTATCGATCGATGGATCGGATCGATGGAACGACAATTTGATCAAGGGGTGGGATGGATGGAGAGTTCGACGACTTAATTGATGGTTCGGATCGATAGCTCGATTATGGGATCGATGGATCGTCCGTTCTTTGGATCATATCGTCGAGGGAAGGACACGAAAAGGAAATGGATCGGCAAATCTAAGATTGTCAATATGAAAGTATTGACGAATCCAAAGATAGACCGATAGATGATATGGTTAACGGGAAGTTAATCGGGAAGGTGTATAAGGGAAAGGTGTTCGAAGAAGCACGGGGATAAGTGCAACCGAACACACCCAAGGGTCGCCCATGGATGCAATCTCACCGGTAAAGGGAGTGAGCACCGAGAATGGGTAAGTGACGTGGTTCACCATGTAAGGATCTAATATCGCGGCCGCCTTTATGTATCAATCGCCATGGCCAATGGTGAAACCGATTAGGAATCGGTAAGACCAATGGTGACTCGACGGATAACCAACGGGAAAGTCCACGGTGAGAACCGGAGGACAAAACGGATGTTGGACCCGCGAGCATACCAAAGGCCGACGGACGAATGATTTCATTGGCTAGCCTACGATAATCCGATGGATGAATCCACGGACCCTTGGGTGTGATAATGATATTGTTCGGATCGCATGGAAGGATCGATAAGCCGAAGGCTTTACCGACCACCATGGACCGGACGGGTAAACGGTTAATAAACCGTGGACGGTCGTAGTGATAAACGACCGGATCGGAAACATGGATGGTTCGATAAGCCGAGGGCTTGATCGTCCACCATGAAACCGAAGGGGCGTACGTTTGGAGGACGGATGGACCAATGAGCCAAGAGCTTGATTCGGCCACCGTGAACCAAGGGAAACGTACGATTCCCAATCTCTATCGTGGAACTTAGACCAGTGGGGTTGGTTGGATGTATGGCTAAGTAACGATAGAGATTGGTCCATCAATACACGATTGGTTAAGAATCGTTGTACGAATGGAATAAGGCGACGAGAGGGCTAAGAGAAGGATCAGTAGACGGATCGAAGAGGAATCAAATCCGCATGTAGGCCAAGGTATGTAAACGCATCTAACTTATTAGTTAAGATAGACGTTTGGGAATTGGCCGTTGGAATAGGGATACAAAGAATATGCAATCGTTAGACTTAGAATGGTTAGCGAACAAATTGCATGACTTGGCCGAATTAATGATCGATCTAAAGTCTAAGGGTCAAAGATGATCAAACCGGTACAAGGGTTGGTTGGAATTAAACCAAGGGTAGAAAGACTTCCGCTGGGTACTAAGAAAGCGATTATAGAATTAAGCCTCGTAAAGGCAATTCTATGTTAAATCGCGAAAAATATGGAGGTTCGGCCGGGAAGAGGCACGAACGAGCGTCAATGGTCGACGGACGCCTCGGCGTCCGGGACGGGACGCTACAGTTGGTATTAGAGCATGCTTGATCCTAGGATGGATAAGTGCTTGGGAATATGTCATGGTAAATGACTACTAAAGGTGTAACTTAAATAATTGAGTCATCGGGAAACCGAATTATTAACTTGAACATTAGTGTTGGTGAGCCGGAAGGGAATTGAGGCATGAACGCGATTACATGCTTGGAAACCAAGAGAGTTTGCCAAGATGAATTGGTTAAGCCAAGATGATTACCCAAGGGGCAAGAACTACACGTGTAGCAAGTGAATAATTATTCGGAAAGAGGGGCTGATTATAAAAGTTGTAAATGTTATGCTAAGTGTTTGGCGGATAAGGAAGTTGAGGTGAATGGGATCGATGTACTTGAGGAAAGATTACCCAAGGCATGATCGGGAACCAAGATATGACCCTTATAGTCAAACGACTTAACACAACGGGGAAAAAGGTATTGATCTATTCGGAGAATGACCAAGATCAATAGAAATTAGATCTCGTCGGAATTTGACGAAGATCGGGAAAGACTTGATCTATTCGTTGAAAAGATCAAGGGGTATTGACCGAGTCCGGTAAAGGACCAAGGTCGGGAATTATTGACCAAGTCCGGAAAGGACCAAGGTTGGGAAATATTGACCGAGTCCGGTGGGGACCAAGGTCGGGAAAAGTGACCGAGTCCGTATAGGACCAAGGTTGGGAAATATTGACCGAGTCTGGTTTGGACCAAGGTCGAAAATTTGTTCTAGTCGGGATTGAACTAGGATGGGAAACATTTGATCAAGTTCGGGAAATGGAACAAGATCGGGAAAATGGATCGAGTCCGGGAAAGGACCAAGATCGGGAAAATGGATCAAGTCCGAGAGAGGACCAAGATCGGGAAACTTGATCAAACTCGGAAATAGATATTTGATCAAGTATGGAATCTAAAGTCTTAGGAAGACTAAAGATGGGAAAACGTTAAGGAGTAACGAAACTCTAACACCCGCCGAATTCGAGGACGAATTCATTATAAGGGGGGTAGACTTGTAACACCCGCGTCCCGCGATCCTAAAGGGGGCCGGTTTGTTTTAGGGAAAACTAGATCATGGTCGAGAAAGACCAATGAATAAGTTAACCCAAGGAAGGAATGAAACGTTTAAGTCATGAAAAGGGTAGATGACTTAGACGACATCGGGATAATCTAGTGATCATGGAGAAATGATCATGGAAAGATTGGGAATGGCGTAGTCAAGGCCGAGAAAACGGACCGAAAGACTTAGCCGAAAAGAACGTGGAAGAACGTTCGAGCTAAACCAGCTAGGTGAGCTGAACAAGCTGGATGAACTAGCTAGCTCAGCTAGGTGAGCTAAACCAGCTGGAGGACTAGCTAGCTCAGTTAGGTGAGCTGACCGGCAGCTCAACCGAGCTCGGTGAACTGATCGAGTACTGACCCAGCTGGGTGGTCCGGTCAGCTGACACTCGAGCTGGTGGACTGTGGTAGCTCGGGATGAAGAGGTGTAAGGTCGAGCGGTTACCGACGAACGGTTACCGTTGGCCAAAGGGTGGATAAGGCCGAACGGTTACGATCGGAAAGACGCAACCTTTCGAAAGGGTGCAACGAACGGATGTGATATTTCGAAAACACACCCATTCGGCCCCTATATAAGGGACGACGTCCAAGGGCATTGGAATCATCCCAACACACTTCACAATCACGATCTCAACCCAACACAAGTCCTAAACACGCCACGAAGTTGTTGGTCGGAAAGGGGGTGCGGCTCGGCGAGTATCTCCGGAATCGGAATGGATTCTCGGAGCCTCGACCGAACTGATGCGCATGCTACCTCCCGATCCAACGGTTCGATGGAATGTTTGGATAGATTGATCGGACCGATCGTCGGAGAGACGGATCGAAACAGATGGATCGTTCGTCGGAGAGACGGGTCGGATCGGGTAAGATGGTCGGGTCGACCGAATGATCGGATCGTGGTATCGATCGATGGATCGGATCGATGGAACGACAATTTGATCAAGGGGTGGGATGGATGGAGAGTTCGACGACTTAATTGATGGTTCGGATCGATAGCTCGATTATGGGATCGATGGATCGTCCGTTCTATGGATCATATCGTCGAGGGAAGGACACGAAAAGGAAATGGATCGGCAAATCTAAGATTGTCAATATGAAAGTATTGACGAATCCAAAGATAGACCGATAGATGATATGGTTAACGGGAAGTTAATCGGGAAGGTGTATAAGGGAAAGGTGTTCGAAGAAGCACGGGGATAAGTGCAACCGAACACACCCAAGGGTCGCCCATGGATGCAATCTCACCGGTAAAGGGAGTGAGCACCGAGAATGGGTAAGTGACGTGGTTCACCATGTAAGGATCTAATATCGCGGCCGCCTTTATGTATCAATCGCCATGGCCAATGGTGAAACCGATTAGGAATCGGTAAGACCAATGGTGACTCGACGGATAACCAACGGGAAAGTCCACGGTGAGAAGCGGAGGACAAAACGGATGTTGGACCCGCGAGCATACCAAAGGCCGACGGACGAATGATTTCATTGGCTAGCCTACGATAATCCGATGGATGAATCCACGGACCCTTGGGTGTGATAATGATATTGTTCGGATCGCATGGAAGGATCGATAAGCCGAAGGCTTTACCGACCACCATGGACCGGACGGGTAAACGGTTAATAAACCGTGGACGGTCGTAGTGATAAACGACCGGATCGGAAACATGGATGGTTCGATAAGCCGAGGGCTTGATCGTCCACCATGAAACCGAAGGGGCGTACGTTTGGAGGACGGATGGACCAATGAGCCAAGAGCTTGATTCGGCCACCGTGAACCAAGGGAAACGTACGATTCCCAATCTCTATCGTGGAACTTAGACCAGTGGGGTTGGTTGGATGTATGGCTAAGTAACGATAGAGATTGGTCCATCAATACACGATTGGTTAAGAATCGTTGTACGAATGGAATAAGGCGACGAGAGGGCTAAGAGAAGGATCAATAGACGGATCGAAGAGGAATCAAATCCGCATGTAGGCCAAGGTATGTAAACGCATCTAACTTATTAGTTAAGATAGACGTTTGGGAATTGGCCGTTGGAATAGGGATACAAAGAATATGCAATCGTTAGACTTAGAATGGTTAGCGAACAAATTGCATGACTTGGCCGAATTAATGATCGATCTAAAGTCTAAGGGACAAAGATGATCAAACCGGTACAAGGGTTGGTTGGAATTAAACCAAGGGTAGAAAGACTTCCGCTGGGTACTAAGAAAGCGATTATAGAATTAAGCCTCGTAAAGGCAATTCTATGTTAAATCGCGAAAAATATGGAGGTTCGGCCGGGAAGAGGCACGAACGAGCGTCAATGGTCGACGGACGCCGAGACGTCCGGGACGGGACGCTACAATGATGCTTCCACCGGACCAGATTGAGGTTGTTCTTGCTCGAAGATCTTGGGGATTTTCATATCTGGAAGGAGAGGGGTTATAGCTGAGTTTGTCGGGTTGCTAGGAGTGGCATTTGACGACGACGAGCCGGCGAGTCGGAGATGAGCAGGCCGAGATTTTTGTAGCGGTGAGGTGGTTCGTTAGTGGTGATTCAGAGATGGAATCCGGATGCTTTCGTCGAAGACTCCGATCCTCTGAAGATGCAAAGCCCTGGATGTTGTATCCGACAGTGCTACTACTCCGGTTACTCTGCCGCCGGTGTTTCACCAGGCTCCGATCTTCTTCTCCAGTGAAGGATGACCTTCTTTTTTCTCTTTTTTGCTACTGTTTTTCTTTTTGTGTAAGCCCAAGATCCATTTCAGGAAACCTTTTTGGGCAAAGCTCGTTTAATAAAACTACTAGATAAAAACCCATGCCATGCACGAATAAATTTTAATATAGAACGATTTAAACAAAAACTCAAAGTTTTTATATCAAATCCCGAGATGCAAACTAAATTTTGTAAATGCGGTAAAATATGTTAAAATTAAAATAATATTATATACATACCATGCAATAAAATGACTTTTTTTTTTTTTGCTTAAATGTGAAATTTATTAGTAATGGGTAATGGCTCTACAAACAAAATTAGAAAAGAAGTTTCAAAAGATGCTAGAACAGAGTTTTTTTTTTTAAACAGTGGATGAGTACTTTAGGTACTGCAGAGTATTTCCCACCGAAATCGTCGACGTTTGCATTGAGGATAACCGATTCGGTATAGCTTTATCAATCAGTTTGACCAAAACCGGTGCTGCGTTCGAGCCTTAATAATGATTTCGACTAGGCCTGGGCACAAGGCAAGTACTTGCTATTTTTCAAGTAATTGAAAGTTCGGCTTGATACTTGACTCGTTTGAGCAAGTACTTGCTATAACAAGTACTCGTCCAAAATTTTGTTACTTGCAAGTAACTTGACCCGGCTTGTTACTTGCAAGGTAACTTGACTTGGCTTGTTACTTGCAAGTACTTGTTACTTAAATCTTGAAGTCTTGAACATTTAATTTAAATAAAAAACCAATCTCATACATATTATAAAACATTCAGAATTTTAAACATCATAAAATCGCAAAACATCCTAGAATCACAACACATTGAAAGTTCCAAAAGATAAGCATTTTAAAACAACTTGGTTCAAATTGAAATCTTGTCTCTGTCTTCTTTCTTGAGTTCTTGTCTTCTTGATTCTTTTTTTTTTCATATAAATAAAACCAACATAACAAATGTTACTATTAGTGTATTACGCTTTAAAACAAAACTTGAAAATCATGAAGTATCCATACCTTTCATTCTTCCTCCAAAGCTAAACCCACTCCTTGCACCAAATTTCCATAAGTATTTGAAGTTACAAATTCTGTTGTTAGGCCAAGTTACAAATTCTGTTGTTAGGGTTTTATAATTTTAGACTTTTAGTGATTGGGTTTAAATGTTTAATGGTCTTTATATCTTGTAATACAAAACGGGACGAGTAGCGGAGCGAGTAACGGAGCGAGTAACGGGGCGAGTATCGAAACGGGGCGAGTAACGAGCCAAGTATCAAAAAAAATTATGATACTTGATACTTGACCCTTACTTGCAAGTAATAGAATTATACTACTTGGTACTTGCCTTGACAACACCGGGTACTTGTTTTTTCAAGGCGAGTACGAGCCGAGTAGCGAGTATCAACCGAATAACGAGTACTTGTGCCCAGGCCTAATTTCGACCATTCCTCTCTCGCCATATCATGTAAAGAGTGGTTTGGAAAGTCATACAAAGCAATGTCTTGTCTTGGTTGGAAAAATGGGAAGACCGGAGAAATGCTAAAGTACTGGACCAATCTGGATTGAGCTTACGCCGGAGGATACAACTTGTCAGTTCAGACCAAACTGTAAATGTGTCAGTTCTTGACTCATCCCGCTCCCCACATAAGCAACAAGGCTGAACAGCACCCCAAGCGCACATTTTTGTACCTGTTGTAAGACGACCCTTTTTCGCAAGCCAATCAATGAAAGAGAAGCGCGGGACATTCTGAGGGAACCATACCGTTTTGTGCCACAATACTTTATTCTTTCTGGGTCGAATATGATCCCATGTATGCCTTGACGAGAAGGAGTGCTTATACTCATCTAGACCTTGTCGCCATAGTGGGAGATCGGGTCCATTCTCAGGCCGTGGAGTTGGTATCAATTGCAGCGAGGAGACTAAAGCACACAAGACTTGGCTGCGACAGCGTCTGATACCCCATTGATTCCCCTGAACCGCGTCTGCAACCATGGTGTTCCTTGGGACTCTAAGCACCATCGGGCCAGAATCGCCCATGATAGAGTAAAGCCGACCTGAACTTAACCATTTGTCCCACCAGAAGTTTACACTTTTACCATCGTGAATTTTCCATTTGAAAAACGCATCTGCTTGGTCTCTTAGTTTTAGAAGTTTGCGCCAAATCCATAAACCTTTTGCACTACCTTTGACCTCCCAAAAAGAGCGATGATTCAGAAGATGTTCTCGGGTCCAAGCAACCTAAAGAGACCCAAAACTTGTTAGAAGACGCTATAATAGGCTTAATGAGAAAACCTGTGAATGCCTAATCCGCCTTCCTCTTGCGGAAGATATACTTCTTCCCATGAGACCTTTGCTTTACTATGAATGTTAGGGGAACCCGACCATAAAAATGCATTGAAAAGACTTTCTATCTCGTCAAGACTCAAGACACCTTTGCGGGAGCCTGAACACCGAAAGCCAAAAATTGTATATACTCATAAAATCGACTTTATCAGTTGTACACGACTTGCGTAGGAGAGAGATTTGCTAGAACAAGAAAGCAGCCGACCTCTTCTTATCTTGTCGATGAGAAACTCATAATCATGACGTGTCACGTATTCCAAGTTTTTTGTGTTAAATTAATAACACATTTTTGCCTATAATTCATTAACAATTTTGACTAGTCTTTGATTTTTAGAGTTGCCCAAAAATTATTCTCAGATTTCTCCATCTCCGAGCATCTGGCTTCTCTGTCTTCTCTGTGGCAGCATCTTTCTCTTCTCTTTCCCCACCGACAATTCTATTCACATCATTCCTCTCCGATCAAAAACTCCCTCTTTCTGATCACAATGCATGCTCTCAAGGACAAAGTCTCTCAAAAACTTTCTAATCTCTTTGCCGATTCCCCAAGCCAATCAGCTTCTCCTCGCTATTCCAATTCCGATTCTCCAAAGGTATGTTCTTTTCGAATTAAGAACCCTAAAAGCTTCATCTTTTTATGTCCCTAATTGTTGTTACCTATTTTCCTGAGATGGGTCTTGATTTGAATCTCGTTTGGTTGATATATGTGTAGGCTAGGTTGAATTCAAGTGTAGGCAAATCGTTATCTTCGTATTTCTCATTTGTTGTTCCTCAATCTGGAAATGATGATGATTCCGAACCATGCCCACCTCTACCCATTAGAACAGAAAGCTATGAGTCTATAGAGAATTGCAAATCTGGTAATGGGCATGATCAAGCTGAGACCTTTAAGGAATCAGATAAGGATTGTGAGTTGCGTGTTTCTGCGAAAGTCGAAGAAAGCGGTAATGATTACTTTCTAGGGGTGAAGCAGATGAGGGAATTAACAGAAGGCTCTGTTTTTATTACTGCTAACTTGTGTGAATTCTTGCATGCGAGTCTTCCGAATATCGTAAGAGGATGCAAATGGATCTTGTTGTATAGGTAAGGAAGTTTATTTTTGTTTTTTGTTTGGAGGTTTTAGAATTGTGGTTTTTGGTGTTAACTTTTTATCGGATGAAGGGCAGTACGTTGAAACATGGCATATCACTTCGTACGCTGCTTCGAAGAAGCGGAGAGCTTCCTGGTCCTTGTTTACTGGTTTGTTTGTTGACCTTTATGCTCTTTGGTGGTTTTGACAAAGTTGAATGGGGCAGATCTTAGTGTGTGATGATTTGGTATGGTGCAGGTTGCTGGAGACAAAAAAGGTGCGGTTTTTGGCGCTCTGCTGGAATGTCCACTGCAACCTACTCCTAAGAGGAAATATCAGGCAAGCTAACTAATTGTTACAATAAAGGAGAATAATTAGTTTCATTATTGCTGATTCTCTTCACACGTTTATTGATGATAGGGTACAAGCCAGACATTCTTGTTCACAACTATTTATGGTGAACCACGCATATTTAGACCTACCGGTAACCGTTTCAACTGCCTCTTTTTTCTTTTTCATCTCAATAAATCGCATAGGTAGCTAATGGATTTTTGGGAGGAAGAATATAGAGAAAATTGAAAAGTGAAATTTAAAGAGAATGCTTAAGTCTCTTCAAAATCAGATCTTAAGGATATTTGGTTCCACTTCCAACTGATTTTTATCAGAATTCTTCTTGGTTCTTGTCAGCAAGACTTGATCCACACTTCTTTCAGTTAGATGAATTGTCGACATAAACCATCCAGTGAAAGAAGAGTAACTTGTTTAGGAGAAGTTCCAGAAGGATGCACCTTTACTGTTTTTTGGATGGCTGTCTTTAATCTTTTGTCCCTACATAGTGATTCAGGCCCGAAAACTATAAAGCAAACCCCTCAAGTATGTGTACTTAACTCAGGTTACCTCTCTTATGAATTTGTATGCAGGCGCCAACCGATATTACCTGATGTGTATGAATGAGTTTTTGGCGTTTGGAGGTGGAGGAAACTTTGCACTATGTTTAGACGAAGATTTGTAAGGCACAATTTGGCTCAATCTCATTTTGAAATTTTTCACTTTTAATCATTTTGAGGATACTCAAACCGAACCTTTCTACTTGACAAGGTTGAAGGCAACAAGTGGACCTTCTGAAACATTTGGGAACGAATGTTTGGCTAGCAGCACGGAGTTTGAGTTAAAGAATGTCGAGGTATAGCTATATAAATATATGCAGTATGTGTGTGCTAATATCAAGTTTCCACCTCGTTCAACATATTATGCAATCTTACTTGGGTCTTGAAGTAATTAGTTCAAGTTCATGTGTTAAATCTGCAGCTTTGGGGGTTTGCGCATGCATCTCAATACCTCTCCTCCTGATCTTGGAGATCCCTTTCTTTGTCAAAAATCGAGATACCTCAATAGAAAGAAAAGCTTACAGTCGTTTTTCAATCCGTTAATTGTTTTCAAATTTATGATTAGGCTTAAGGACAGTTTTTAAGGCTTTAATCTGTTGAAAGAGTGCCAATATAACATGTTTGTATCTGTGTTACAGAGAATTCTAATTCAGCTGAGACCTTTATGAATTTTTTTATTTGACTGTAACTCTTAGATAGTGCTATTGTTTATATCAGATTCATCTTGTTTAAAGTGAAGTCTCAGATGGGGATGAAAGTTTAAAATCTACTTGCAATCTACTTGATTTGTTGTTTTCAAACTGTGAGATCTGAAATTCTATACTTTGTTTACATGTATTGTACATCATTGTCATATATTTGGTTGCTTTACCTTTTATGTGTGTTAGAGAGATTTCTGAAGTGAATTAGAGAGTGAGAAAGCAGGTGTTTGAGAAGGATATGACCGGAAGGGTTGCGGTTTTTGAAAATGGTCGGGAAAAAGAAATTTGAGGTCTAAAAACCAAAAAAAAGAGCAAATTGTTTAGTGAAAGTCCTCTTCAGTTTGTGGGCTGCGGTTTTTCTTCTTCCAAAGGGTTGTTTGGAAAAGGTTGAACAAATATGTAGCTTTTCTTGGAGTGGCGCTCCTAATTCTGTAGTTGGCTACTATTTGCTGGTGCAGGATTCTTATGGGTTTCTTGGATTCAGAAAGTTGTCATTACGGGCAGACTAGTCAAGCTGCGGTCCCTAGCTCGTCCTTATATCTCTTGTCAACTTCAATCTGGTTCCTCTGCCCACTTCTGGCACGATGACTGGATTGGTTTAGGTCCGTTTATTAACCTGACATGCTCAAATGGTCCCATGACTGCTGGTATTGTTTCTCAAGATATTGGTAATGGCTCTTGGCTTTTACCGCGTGGAAGGCACCCATTATTGGTTATTCTTAGGGCTTGTTTACCCTTTCAGCTGCCAGTTCTATCTCTCACTGCCTCTGATTTCTTCTTCTAATGAACCTCTTGCAATCTTCTCAACTGCAGAATTTTTGGGACAGCTTGCATCCTCGGTCAGCTTATGTTCCTTGGTTTAAATCAGTCTAGTTCAAGCAAAGAATCTCCAAACATGCCTTTATACTTTGGGTGACTTTTCATGATAGATTAACAACAAGAGACCGACCAAGGGGTGGGGAATAAATGTGACATCCAAGTTTTCTCTGTTCCGCGGTCTTTGAAACTATATCATACCTCTTCTTTGAGTGTCCTCTTGTCGTTGAGGTTTGGAGTTCCTTCTTCGCTTACTCCACTCTTTCTCCTCCATCTTTTTTCACCTTGTCGTGAATCGGGTAATAAGATCAGCTTCATCAAACTCAAATCCCAATATAATGTGTAAATTGATATTCCAAGCATCCGTCCTACATGATCTGAAAGAACGGAATTCTAGACCAGACTTCATCTTCTAAATCAGGTGAAGGCGTGAAGCATGCATGTTATTTTGAGAAACAAAAACGGAAAAGGAAGCAGAAAAGGAAATGAATGAGAGAGAAGGAAGCAATTAGATACTCTCTTCAAAAACACCTTTACATAAAACTATATATATCGTATAACTTCACCAACTAACAAAAGATCCGCTGTAGCACATTGGCTTAAGCAAACATTCTAGTTTAATACTGGATCAGAATTCCGGGTTCGAAGCCCGGCAGCGGAAAATTCTTTTTTGTTATTTTTTATTAATGTCTCGGTTGGGTCGTGTGTCGGATCGGATAAAACAATTATTTTGATTCGCCAAGTATATAAAGCTTTGCTATAGAATGTGCAAGAGATCATAGGTATACGGAAAGCTTTGCTATCTCTGTATCTTGTAAACCAAGTGAAGATAGTTAGTTCTTCATGATAGCTAGTTTATGTCTTGTTGCATAGGATTGTTATGGTTTGATGATCTGATTAAGCTTGGGGAATGTTGTTGTAATGTTTGATATAAAACACGTTCTCATACAGAAAAGAACAGCCAAGCCTCTCTCCAGTCTTCTAAGCAAGCCTAATAATCAGCCCTTGTCTTTGTTTAGCCAATGCTCCAATCGATTTTGATCACCGGAAGACACAAAACCCATTTTTCACAACTTATGGATTACTTTATTAGATCAATGTTTGAGACAAACCTGACAGTGCAACGCTTTTCCTCGGAGCTGAATAAACATTTTCTTGCCAACTATATATGTTGCGTGTGTACCAGAGTTTTGCCCATTGGGGCTCTGTTTTTTTTTTTTTTTTTGGCAGCATGTTATGTTTCTTAGTTTATAGAAGTTAAAACAAAAAAAAAACAAAGAAGACTATGAAGTGTGCAAAGTATAGTCCACTAAATTAAAAAAAAAAATTGGAGTTAGAGTAAAAAAAAACTATGAGTGTGTTAATTTTTAATAATTTTTAAAGAGATATTTAATATTTTTTAAAATAATTTTTGAGAATACTAATAAAATTATGGGTTAGCTGCATATTTACCCCTGAACTATATACTTTCAAGCAAGATCCCCCTGAACTTTATCTCTCTGTATATTTCACTATAATTATTTCTAATTTTCAATTATTTTAAAATATTAAGGGATTTTTTAAGATTAAAAAACAAACTGGAATCACTAAACTTTGATGACTAAACAAGCCATGAGAGCATATGTTTGCTTATTATATGATTATGTCAAGAAGTCAATTTGAATTCTTAAGTTACAACGGGTATAAGTAAATTAACAAGGTAGTTTAAGCAAGAAAATTTTCGTATTCAAAAATCCAATCAGTTAACAGTATAAATAAAGATGTTTTCTCTCTTTCTCGTAGCAATCCCTAATTCACGGCTCCTTTGCAAATTAAATCGTTCTTCGAACGGTCTTCTTTTTAAATTCTCCGATTCAAATCCGTTAACGTGCCGATCGAAATTCAAAATTTTCCCGACATCTATTCTTTCTCCAGCGACGAAGATTGATCACAGTGCTTGATCCAACGGACAAGATCGCAATTGGGGAATCTGTTTATTAGATTGAATCCGAGATCGTTGCTTCAACCGTATCACAAAATCTTCGGATCACGCAAACAATCCGGTACAAATTCTTTTCTCAATTTTTAGGTTTCTACAAAAGTACCGAATTAGGAAAAATAGCGATGTAGAACTGGTTTGATTATGTATCTTCACGTTGTGGATATCTTTCGATTTAGGAAATTTGTAATGAGTTTGCGTTTCCTTGTCTTATTCATCATCATGAGACGAACCTGTTATAAGTCTTTTGATGGTTCATGTTGCTAATTTTGTTCATCGTTAAGTGACAAGATGAAGAAGAACTCTAGTGATTATCCAGATCTATGGTTTGTTCTTTTCACTATAATTGTCTTGTGACATCTATTTTTCTATTTTGATCAGTATTTCATCACTGGAGTTGCATCTCTAAATCAATTGCAGTGTTACGTTTGATTCTGCAAGAAATCAAATTTCAGCCTTAAACTTTTTTTGGTAGTGTATAAGTTTTTTCGTTTACTCAGTTAATGATATTGTGCGTATATGTGTTTGTTTTTCTCATGTTATATGTTGAGTGGTCTACTGAATCTGAATATGTTTTTTTAATGAGGATTCAGTTCTTTGGCTCAGTTTTGTGTTCACTAAACATTGTAGAAACTAAAAGGAGTTGCTAAATCTCTTTGAAAGGTACGCTCTCATATTTGTTTAAAACACATAAAAGTTCTAGAAATAACTATATTTGGTTTTTGAATGGTATCATTTTTAGAGAAGACCACTGGGTTATAAGTTAGTCAAATGATCCATTTTTATAACTTTATTCTTGGACAATATGTAAGGAACCATACATTGTTTACTTTTGAATTCAGTTAGTTTATGTAATCTTTTTTGTTCGTTTAGTGTCCTTTGTGTTTATTCCCACTACGTCAAACTCTCTCCTTCTTATTGATAATTTTTTTTTTGCTTTCAAGAGAAGGAAGAGATCCTTAAGCTTTAAAGAACAAAAGTTCCGGGAAGACCATTCGCTCCAATATGAATAAGGTATGATTTCTTTGTTCTCTCTCTCGTTTTTCCAAAAATATGACACAGACCAGTCCTCTGGTCTGACTTGTTCTGCATTTATAACATGCTTAGCGGGTTGAGCTCATCAACTCTTATTAGATATGGTAGTAAAAGCACAAAACACAAAACAAACACAGCACGCTCAAACTTAATTCAAACACACAAACACACATCTAAACGCAAACTTAAACACACAAAACACAAGACAAACCACGCTCAAACGTAATTCAAACACACAAACAGACATCTAAATGCAAATTCAAACACACAACACATAACAAACAATACACGCTCAAAAATAATTCCAACACACAAACACACATCTAAAAACCACAAAGTCAAACACACATTCCATCACAATATTCTCGTAGAAAAGGTCACTGCACAATCATTTACATATACAATGCCAAGAATTTGCTTTGAGGTGAAGCATCTAACTTTTATCTGATCGTTTCCCAATAACCAGCCATTTTATTTACTTTTGATTTTAACTTCAGTATGTAACATCTACTGTTTTAAACGTTTTTTTGTTCATCATGCGCAACTGCTGGCAAAGCAAAATTCAAGCAGACTACTAGGTATGTGGTTTATATACTAGTTTATCTGGATTTAAAGATTATTGATTTGTATAAAAGAGTTCTCATGTTTCTGATTTATACAAGTTGTTAGTTTGTGTGTCTGTATGGTTTGACTTTTGGCATTGATTTAGTTTTTAATGTCACCATGAGCTTTAATAATATCATCTACAGACTCTTGGTCGCAAATACTGAAATTGGAGGGCATGCTAGAAACCAAATTTTGCTAGCAACCATACTCAGATGGTTCTGTTTTTTCTTCTTATAATTAAATCTCTGTTTTGGGCTAAAAACTTAAAAAATGCAAATGACAGGCTAAGTCTTTAGAAAATAAGACAACAAGCTTAGGTTTGCATTCACTGACTTCTGGTATTTCACAACTTTCAAAGCTCTTTTGCTCATGATTCTAGTTGGAAAATCTTAGTGGGTTATGTTTCAATTTGTATGTAAATTGCAGGAAATAAGCATTGTAGAGAAACTGAAAAGAGTTGATCAAATCTCTTTGAAAGCTAAGGTACGCACTC